CGAAGTTACGGAAAATCAATTAACAAACGGAGACGTAACAGCCCCTTCTATTTTTATGTAGGATTCTTCTTGTTCTTCTATAAAATTTCTATCTTTTCTCTCACTCTTTGAACCTTGCGATAGCCATTTTCACAGATGAGTTCTATTTCAATTATATTGTTACGTCTCTGTTCGTTAGTTTGTTCCCGTATAATTTCTTCCCGATAAAACTTTAGAGACACAAGTCCTTTCTTAAATAAAACTGGTTTATTCTTTCTGTATACAACTTTGCAATACACTTAATTTCCACAGTCGCGCTATAACAAACGCTATAATTCACAACGAACGTCTCACGTGCTCGACTCAACTGTCAATTACACACTTTACATTGTTGCCATCGCTTCTTGGCCTGTCTTACATATACAAGACTACCGCATATCTAGTAGCTTCTCGAGACTTCAGGAAGGGACAGGATCCTTCCAGAAGTTCATGACGTATTACTAGCGTCACGTTACTTCCGCTGTCGTAACAATATTAAAAGTTCTATTAGCTTCTGAACTTAATAACCCTACTTCTGAAATCAGTTGTTGTAACATTGTGCTTTTGTTGGACTGGTTCTTTTAACTTTTCTGGTGAAAATCATTCAAAGTCCTGTCCACAAAACAATATCATATTAGTTTTATTTTCCCCCTCGTTGTTTCTTTATAAGCTTGTACACTTTATAACTTGTTGTATACTTACGTTAAAAGTCACGTTATCTGCACTACACTAACGTAAAAATTACCTTACATGTACAAAGTAACTTAACATGTGAAATTATTAACATAGATTCAAAAATGTAAACACACTGACTAATTAATTCTATCAGACCTCCAGTGTCTAAGTCTGAAGACTTTTAAGCTAAAAACCGGGTTTTGATACCCCTAGTGTGCACAATACAGATAGACCATTGTGTAGCTTTGTGCTTAACAACAAACAACTAACCACAAAAACAAAAACAATTCACCCTACCGGCTATAAAACAATTCTCTATCTTTTTGGTGTTTTATTGTTTCACTTAAAGCATACAACCAATTGTCTGGCTCACTCATATTTATAATCTAATCTTTGTTCTAGATATTCCACAAAGCCTTTTGTTCTTCAATATTCCAGACTATTCTAGGACTAACTTGATCTTACCGTAATACATCCTCTAAGTTATCCAAATTACAACATTAAATTACAGCGTATAACCATATAACAGATAAAAAGATTTGTTAAACAGTTAAATCTGCTGTTCCTAAAACAAAATCTTGGGTGTATTTTAAGACATATTTTATTAATCGCACGCCCATGGTACAGCAAAAATGTAATAATAATGATAAACACAAGAAAAAGTATGATAGAGTTTATTTTAAGAACATACTTACAAACACTTATCATAAAGAATTTTACACATTACAAAGTATCAAACAATGTTGCTGTTATTTGGATGCACGTACTTTTAACTGAATTATTTTACAACTGACTAATGTACAGAACTACACAAATGTTTAAGTTGTAACAAATCACTTATTGCAAGTTTCTCATTTCAAAACCCAACTCGTGAAAAGTTATTTCTTTCTGAACTTAAAATAAATTGATTTAACTAAAACTATATATTTTCAATTTTAATTACGTTTAGATTCGTAATTTGTGTACTCGAAGTAACTGATCGGCTAAATTAGCTTCGTTCTACTGTACTATTTTCAGAGTAGACTAACTCATTAAATCTTGAAGTATTCGAATGGTAGAAGAATAACCATACACTGCTTAACGGACAAAGACTCTATTTTTTACTAAAACCATTTTAATTCTGTTTTAAATTTTTGATTCTCTTTCCCAAATAATTTATGTTGCATTCTTGATCATATATTCTAGTGTTGCGTCAGCGAGATCACGTGACTATTGCCACGCCACCTGCTTTCTAGAACTATCCCGTTCCTTCGGGAGTGCTCTAGCATTTACTAGATTGGGGGGTGGTCTGGTATATATAAGAGGGTGACAACGTGACAGAACAATGTGTGTGTAGGTAATGAGTAATTGAACTGCAGTCAGAGAGAGACGTATTGTTGAAGTTAACGTCGTTATTATAGTTTGTTATAGCGCGACTGTTGAAAATAAATGTATCGTAAAGTTGTATTGGGAAAGAATATACCAGTTTTATTAAGTAAGGACTTGTGTCGCTAAAGTTTCGTCGGAACGAAGTTACGGAAAATCAATTAACAAACGGAGACGTAACACTAGGAATAACAGTGGATAATTTTTCCACAAACATTCTCGCCTAGGAAATCAAAATACTACATGTATTCTTATTAAAGTTTGTTGTTAAGCGCAGAGCTACACATCAGAGGCATGTCTTCGCTGTTCTTATCGCAGATATCGAACCCCGATTTTTAGTGTTATAAGTCCGCAAGGTAACCACTGATCCAACGACAGGCTTTTTATTAAAGAAAACAAACAAGAAACGATATACAAAATAAGGGTAAAACACCATATAATAAAATAAAATAACAAACCTGAGGAACACATGCACACACACACACTTTCAGGAAAAGTGTAAAATTATTTTTGAACGTAGATACATAAAGACATGTTGTATATATATATGTTGATATTACTTCTATACGAACATAGAGTAAAAATTTACACTTTATTTTTTGTTATAATTTACTCAGTTAATTAAGTATTCGTATGGTCAATTGCTACAGATGGCAGGCCAACGGTAGGGTTTGAGAAATTCCTGTATTTGAATTGAAACACGATTGTTTCGTAAGTTAATTTTTCTCGAATACTGTTTAAAGACATTGGAAATGTTTAAAAATACGTTTCAAAGTGGTTTCCTTTCAATTTTATATAGTATTGGCAGTAAGCCATTGCAAATCTGGGATAAAAAGGTAAGGTATAATATTAAAAGAAGTAATATTTAGCAACTATGATCAAATAATACTGAACAGTACTACTATTACTAATACTAGTACTACTAAGACTATTATTTATCAACTACTGTTGTTTATACTTATAGTTTAGCCTAAACCGTTAGCGTTATTAATTGATGCAGCTTACATTTTAACTTTAAGTTGCAAATTGTAATGTAACGCTAACAATATAGTAACTAGTGTTATTTCTTTTATACATTGAAATTTATTTAGCATAATCTTCATGCTTAGTCACTTAGTGCCTCATATACTACTAGTTGTAGTACTACAACTAGTCCGAGTATTATTTACTACTACTGATAGTTATATAAATAATATACAATGATTCTTGGCACAAAAACTCTTGAGGTTCTAATTTATTTATATTATAAATAAATTAGCATTCCATATTTGTGTTGAACAAGCAAGCAAGGAGAAGTAAAAATCCATCATTTTAGTTTTTCCTTCTGTAACATAACACTAAATTTACTCATAATTGTGTTTTTCATGTGCAATTTCACTTTATCAGTTTATGAAACAGTTTATTTATGGAGCCTTTCAAAAATGAATTTTAAAGTATGAAATATATTTCCACACATAAGATATTTCTAACGTAATGGCAGTAGTATTATTAGAATAAGTATTTATAAAAGCATTTAGAACTGGTATTGTAAGTTGTATATAATTAGAAAAATATAAGATAAGTTTTGTGTTATTGCTTAGGGAAAAATATCATAACAATTAAGGGACAACTAGTGTGTACTCTGTTTCTCAAGATTCCTGTGCCTTGGCCTTCATGATTATTTCAAATATAGTGATCAATTTAAATAGACACTGGGTAGGAATTTAATCCTGTATGCTGATCGCATTTTGATTCATTCAGGGCTGTAGCAGTGATATAAAAATACTGAAAGAAGACAGTTGGTGTGTTACAAACCTTTTATTCTACTTTAAGAATAATCAAAACATTAATACTGTTTTTGTTGTTGTTTTTTGTTAAAAAGGAGTACTTATTAAAACTTTTGAAAATGCCATTGTTGTACAAATAACACAACTGAACTTCTGAAATAATAATATAATCATGACTCAAGAAGTTAGGTAAAAGAACCAAAAGAGAAAAAACTTAACTACATAAATTATCACAAAATCTACTTAATAATGAAAACAATCTGATTAATTATGAATTGCAATATATAATCTAAAACACCAAGTTTAGTGGCAGAGCAAATACTGTTTTAAGATTTTAACTACAGAAATATTGAATACAAGTCTAAAGAGGTTATAATTTCACTGAATAGATCATTGGTTAGGCCACATTTGTAGTATTGTTTTCAGTCTTGAATTTTATTGTATGAGTCATTGCCTAAGCCATATCTTCAGTATTTTGTTCAGTCTTGGGCTCCTTTTAGTTGCTACCAAACATCTGACCAATTTATTATGTAAAGTGACAGAGTGATTTATATATGACCATAGTTTATAGTTATGACAGACTTCAATGGCACTAAACATTAGTCATTTTGTTTCAGTATGAGAATAATGTTATAATTAACAGTCAAAAGACAGCTCAAATAAATGATATTAGATAAGGTACACAAAATATATAACTTAATAATAATTAAAAGTGAAGGAATACCACCTCACAGGTGCTTCTTTATAGGTATATTATTTATACTGTAGTCTATAGAGCATGTTCTAAAACCACTGGTTTTATCAATATATATTCTGAATACCTAAATGTAACATAACACAAGCTTTGATTTTAAACCTTTTTAATATGATACTTTACCTTACAAAACAAGTTCATCCTTTAAAAAACACCAGAATTAATAGGAGCTTTAAATGTTATTTTCAAATCTTTTGACACAAGAGAAATTATTAGGTTATGATCTAATTCCTATTTTGGGAGAAAAAAAAAGGTTAAGGGCTATGCAGAAATTACACACATTGTTTTGCCCCCGAAATGGCTATTTACATATTTAAATTTAAGTGAAAATACATATTTATTGAAAAAACCCATAGAACTGACTTAATAATGTAAAATTTTTAATTAGACAAGTTTACATAATTTTTTTAATCTACAGTGAGAAGCAAAAGAAATAATAGATTTTCTTATGTCATGAACAGAAAAGTGAAATGATTGAGAAAAATATCTACAGTTTTGTGCTTCAGGCTGTACTTTAAGTTTTTACAATGTGCATACATGTAAATTGTCGATGTAGATTTAAGAGAGACCAGATGTGGTTTGTTTCCTTACCCAAGAAAAAAACAGGTAATTGTAGGCTTAGTGTTATAGACTGTTGTTACAATCTTTGAATATATTAGAAAATGACTTTGAATTTGGAGTAGCATTTAGAAAGTTGGTATTTAATTAGTTTTGGTCTCTATATATAAGAAAAAACATTGTATTATAGGAAGGGATTTAGAGGAGGGATACTATAATGGTTCTGTGGATTGAAGGTTTATCTTATAGGGGTAGGTTAAGGTTCCTTAGATTATTATTTTTATTTTAGAAATAGTTAAGTAGCCAGTTAGCCAATTTATTTGTGTACATTCTTTTAATAGGGTAAACATAAAAATAATATGAAATAAATATTTGAGTCATCAAATAGTTTACAGTTGTCTACTATATTCATTAAACAGTAAACATAAAATTGATAATAATTGCAATTAACTTACTTTATCTAGTTCACACTAGAACTGTCTTTTTTCATGAAAATTGATGGTGAAAATTGACCACTACACTGTTGTATTCCATCTGGCCTCATGGGCCCTGATATTGGGCAAAATGCCTTGCCAGCACTGGATGTGACAGATATTTGTTTCTGCTCAAAGTTTTTAGAATTAGTAATGTAATTTTCTACCACTGGTGCCATGGTTGTTTGACTCTATGTGAACAAGAAGATAGCTTGCTGGTTCGCCAGTTCTGAATGATAGTAAAGTTAATGTAAATTAATAACAAATAACTGATGCAAAAAAATAGATAAATTATATTGAGTTATTAATACTTACTCAAAAATTTGACTTGTAAATGACTTAAATTAATTTGATAACAACTACAATTAACTTTATTTAATCTAATTCATACCATAATTTTTGTTACTCATGAAAATTGGTGTTATGAATAGTGGTAAGACCACTACTTTGTCTGTTGTATCCTAGCCATCCTGATGAGCCTTGATATTGGGCAAAAGGCCTTGTGAGCATTGGATATCGTAGATGTAATGTGGTGGACATATAACATATTTGCCTTTGCTTTCACTCATAAGTTCTTACAATTAACTAAGATTATCTGATTTTATGAAAAGTTGATTTCATTTGTTGAACAAAATTAAAGAAAACTTGTTTACAAACATTACAGCTTGAAAGAACTATGGTATATTTATTAAGATATAAAAACATTAATTTTAAACAAAGAACCAAATATTTGGCCCGGCATGACCAGGTGGTTAGAGCGCTCGACTTGCAATCTGAGGGTCACGGGTTTGAATCCCCGTCACACCAAACATGCTTGCCCTTTCAGCTGTGGGGGCATTATAATGTGATGATCAATCCCACTATTCATTGGTAAAAGAGTAGCCCAAGAGCTGGCAGTGGGTGGTGATGACTAGCTGCATTCCCTCTAGACTTACACTGCTAAATTAGGGATGGCTAGTGCAGATAGCCCCCATGTAGCTTTGCGCGAAATCCATAACAAACAAACAATACCTTTATTAAGCCTTAAGCAATCTCTAGCCATCTAACTTCTTGGTATCATACTATATATGAAACAATTGAAAGGAACATTTAGAGAAATTGTGAAAAAACTCAACTTAAACCTATATATTTACTCTACTATAAAATGACAGTATAATTCTTGCTCTATACAGTCATATTTAAACTTTCTTCAGAGCTATGTGTTTTTTGTAAATGATCAAACCACTTGATGTAGGTAGCACCATAACCAGATGGCAACCAAGGCTTGCACAAAACTAAGGGAAAGACTCGAAAATAAAGAAATAGATATGTTCTTAATGGTTGAAAGATTATTAGCAAAAATAGTCATTTTTGGGGGGGATGGGTAGACACAAAACAAAAAAAACAACATTAATTGGGTTGTTTACAAGCAAAATTTCACAAGTCACTGGGCCATGCTGACCCATAGCTGAACAACCTGAAGTAAAAAACAAAAAACAAAACTTTAATACTAAAATTTAACTTTGACACCACTGGTAGGCAGAGGGCATATAGCCCATTATATACCTTTGTACTTGACAGCAAACACAATGGCAATATTTTAATTAATTAAATAGCTGGAATAATCAAACCAGTAATAAATGTAAACTGATTTTTTCCAATTTTCACCACAACTAAACGTCTGAGAGAAAGTTTTATGGTTTCATTAACAGCCACACATCAGACATTGTTTTTCCTCAATATTAGTGTTCTTTCAGATATTTCAAGAACATAACTTTTCATTTCTCAGCATTGAAACTCATTACCCCTTTCTGGCCCTATCACTATGACTGTCAAAATTCCTTTGAATAAAGGAAGCATTATAATTCAATGAGCTCTTTCCAGCATCATATACAACACATTAAACAATACTTTTGTCTAAACTGTTATTGAAAACAGACACCTGTGGAAGTTGCATGCTACACTCTCTAAGTTACTATTTTCTTCCCATTTCTTCAGTTTTTACAACAATTATGTAAGCATCTAACTTGCTAATTAATTTCTTGTATGCTTACTCAGTTTAATAAAAAAAATCAAGTATGGAACTTGGCAATGAATTCAATAAATCAATATGATTGATTAACTTTAAATACTAATTGCATTGATTAGTTTCGCAATTGCTTGTGATTATTGATGTTTTCAATTATTTCAACTATCCAAATAATCAAAATATTGTCATTATAATTTATTTAATATTTTTTATTTATTCAAGGTGATTCAGCTTATTTGATTAATGTTACGACTCACACAAATAATTGATTAATCCAAATTATTCTTTCTGATTATTACTATTTTCAATTATTGCATCCAACCAAGTCTCATGTAAGAATAATTGTTTAGTTTAGTGCAGTCATTTAATAAGCTTGATGATTAATCAATTAGCAAATTTCACTAATTACCAAGCTCTTACAAGTAGTAGACCTTCTTGACGCTGATAACTAAGGAGAAGGACGTTCTAGCATCTAGATTTACCCATCCACATCTTTTATCACAATTTGTAACATCTGTCATATAAATTGTTTGCAGCTATTTCCATTCTTGGTGAAATTTTATTCTTTAATAGTTTGTTACTTTCTCATAGATGCAACCTTAGTCAAAACCATAGGTGTCATTAAGTTGTTCCATGTAGATGGAAAATGTAATACGACTTGATTCGAAAATGTTATTTCTCTGCCCCACTAAGAGTTATTACTTTGTGTCCAACTGCTGTGGAATTTTCTGCACATGACACAAGCCTTAAACAAACTCCCACCCCTATTTATGTCTACATGTATTGCATCAGCCTATAATGTAATTATCATACTGCTGTAACCTTCCATCAATAGGAGAATGACATGAGCACCTTGTATAGTAATCCCTGTGAGCATTAACACAGGATTATAGGCGCATTCTTTCCTTGGCACTGCCTGTGTTCAGACGTTTTTTTTTACTGTGCTTTTTGATTTTCTAGTTGCTTTGATTGACTACCTATCTTTATTTAGTGCTACATTACTTTTGTCCTCATTGTACTTTCATTCCATCCACATAATTGCAACTTTGCTTTCTCTAGCCACCACATTTCCAATTCAGTTATTGATGGCCAGGGGACCTTATCTGTTTTTGGAGTTGACATTCAGTAATTATCTCCTTAGCTCACTTAATATAGAAATGCCTGGCTTGGGATAACTTTCAGATCTCAGTGCATGGTGGCCTGGCATGGCCTGGTAATTAGATTGATTGACTCATAATCTTCAGATGGAGGGTTCAAATCCACATACACCAAACATGCTCACCCTTTCAGCTGTGGCAATGTTATAAAATTACAGTCAATCCCACTGTTCATTGGTAAAAGATTAGTCCAACAGTTGACGGTGGGTGATGTTGACTAGCTGCATTACCTTCAGTCTAACACTGCTAAATTGGAGACAGCTAGCACAGATAGCCTTTATGTAGCTTTGCACGAAATCCAAAACAAACCAAACCAATGCATGGTATGGTACTATAAATATAGTGGAAGTATTAACTTACCACAATCTTATAAAGCTGTGATGAACCGTGGTATGACACCATGTTCAATGTTAATATTTTTCAAACCCTGATATAACTGACGATTGGTTCCCTTCTACCTTCTTATCCTCCAGTTCAGGTCCCTCATTGTTCAGTTTTATTGCATATCTCACCTGTTGACAAATTTGGCCAGCTCTTCCATCTACAGCCTTTTCTTTTGGCTCTTCTCTTCCTTATGAGGAACAGGTTCCTCATTTTTTGTTTGCTATGCTCATATCTTTTGCCTGAATATCATATTTATTCTTGGGTTGCTTTACTTCATGGATCTTCCTCTGTCTTAACTCCATATTGATCATCATCATCTTTGTCCTCCTTGGCCCAATGCATCAAATGATCTAAATCTCCCTGTAAGTCTGCAGCTTCTTTGATACAGTTAGCCACTCCAAAAATTTTAGTCATCTGCAAACTTCAAAATTTTGTTAGTCATTCCAGAATCAGTGTCATTAATATAAATCATAAACAGCAGAGGACCCAGCACAGAGCCCTGAGGCACACCACTTGTAACTGTGATCCAGTTAAATATATCTCCATTTATGACTAATCTCTGCTTTCTTCTCTCCAGCTCATTTTCTATCCAATTTAATAACATTCCCCCACACCCACAGATTTAATTGTTGTAACAAGTATTGTGTGAGGCACCTTATCAAATGCTTTCTGAAAATCCAGGTAAACCAGACCTACAGTATTTCCATCATCAACTTTTGCAGTAACATCCTCAAAGAATGTTAGAAGATTTGTTAAACAAGACTTTCCCTTAGTGAAACCATGCTGGCTCTTTGACACTATATCAAAAAGTGACTCTGCAATGCATCTTTAATCACACTTTGCAAAACTATTCTAACTATTGCTGTAAGACTAACTGGCCCATAATTGCCTGGTCAATATTTATCACCTCTTTTAAATATACACTTGATCTGGTCATTTCTACACATACATACACCTAGCTCATGCTTGCTGTTTTTAGTTGTAATAACCCATTCCGCTGTCTCTTGATAAAATCCTGATTCTAGATGATTGTGCTTGATGGCAGTATTCCAAGCGCATGCACACGCACACACAATGGTGTTTTACCCATGTTTATTCCTCCACCCCCACCCCCCATTCTTCTAGTGAAACATGAGAGAACCCTAGTTCCCCAGTCCCAAGCTGCATAGGATGTTGATAGAGTTTCTTTTACAAGTGGTGCCTTCCACCTTGTAAAAGGCTGGTTTGGTCCATCTCCTTGATTGAAATGTGAGAATGGGATGTTACCTGGAAGTGTACAACAGGACACTCCCATTACAGTATTTCTCAGCAGTTCCCAGAGGATATATCCAGTTGGATGGGACTTGGATTTGCCTTGGGATGTAAGTGAGAGCTCCTCTTTCCTTCTTCTGTTGTTATATCTATCTATTTCATGTAAATAGTTGACCAAGACAGAATGGCCTAAAGCTTTAGTCACACTACACATTTTAACATTCTGCCCATGTTGGTTACATATAACCACCAGTGCTGCATTTTCCTAATATCCTTGTTCTCTACTATCTCCATAAAAAACTCAACAACATTAGAGTTTTTCCCTGCTTGAAAAAAATGCGGTCTTCTCTCACATACTACTCCACCATGTGACCCCCAGTCACATCCCATAGGTTTTCTTTTTGTGCTTTTATTTTAGTCGATCAGCACAGGTTCCTCCACCATCTTCATTGTGGGATTCTAGCTCTTAGTGGTGCAGAGAGGAAAGTTCAGACAGATACTTGACAATCTTCAACACACAGTGGCTACTACACAAAGATGTTGTGTCACATTCCTATTGGTGGAGGGCTACAGCATTATAAGAATTATGTCACAGGCTGATGCAAAACACATTGACATGTAGGGCTAGGAGTTTCTTCAAGGCTTATGGTATGCAAAGGAAATTTCAAAGCAGTTGTGTGCAAGGTCATGGCTCTTAGTGATTCAGAAAGTTAAGTATCCATCTAAAGTACATTTTCTGGTAAGAAAAATGTTAACATTTATACGTCTTCTTCCTCCCATTGTTAACTTTTTAATTTATTTATTGTAATAATTTTATTATTTCAAGGATAAGTCATGTAGGGCTTTAGAAGAAGTTAATAATTTTTTTTTCATTTTTTGAAATTGACAGTTAAAAAAAAATTGTAGTACTGAAAATAACAGACTTATTCTTTATGATGTAATTATGAAATGTGTGCAAAGAGTTAGGAGTGTTGCTCATTTCTTTCTTAAATAATTAACTACATGAAGGATTTACTTATAACTGTTATTACATGCTGCATAAAATAAGTATTTAAACATATTCTGTTTTTTTCTTGTAGGTTCGCAATGGGCACATAAAACGAATAACTGACAATGACATTCAGTCACTTGTTTTGGAAATTGTTGGCACTAATGTTAGGTAAAGTATCAATATTTCTCTGAGATGCAAAGACACTTTTGGATGATAACAAAAGTTCAATAACAATACATAAATGTTATTCCATGTTACTTCTGCCAATTTGATTTTGGAATAAGCAAACATTACTGGTGTACTGATGTATTTCTCTTTTACTCTCTTAAATTATATTAAAATATATATGACTATTATAAAAGAAATTAGCAAAGCAGCATGTCATATACTGTATCATTATACCATAGGAAGGTGAAATTGCACGGGGTTGTTAAGGGTGTCTTGCAAATGCAAATTCCATAGTTGTCACTTGTTGCCAACAGGGGTGCCACTATGACGTAATGTCTGATAATTCACAGCAGCTATTTAAAATATGCTCATCCAGATTGCATTGCATTTGTAAGACAGAGGACATTTCAGCAACAATGTGCATCTCATTTGGTATGCTAGCCTTTTCTTGGACATATTCATCATTGAGATCTGGAATTGTGTGAGGCTTTCCACCATTTTCACATGACTTCAGGTACCCCAACAACCAGAAATCAACTGGCATTAGATGTGGTGAATGAGGTAGTTATTCATAATTAAAGTGATGTGAAATGATTCTGTCCTGAAAGTGCTTCTGTGCTTACCAATGTACAAAGGTCACCATCCTGCATGAAAACCATAGTGTCTATCAGATTTTATTGCTGCAACATGGGGATTGCAATGGTTGTGAGAAATACATGGGATGATATAGAATTGACTGCAGGTTTGCATTCCATTTGCTGATAATTCCTTAGAAAAGTATGGTCCAATAACATAGCTGTAAAACCACATCACACTGTTACTTCAACATTGTGGAGGTGTGTAGGAAATGTTACTTATAAATTAGTTTCCACCAGCTAATGCAGTTGTGTGTGTGTTGATGCTTCCACAAAAAACGAAGCATGCTTCATCAATCCATAAAATAGTAGCAGGTCATTGGTCATCAACTTTTACTCTTGCCAAGAACTGCAATGCAAAAACAGCATGTCATTTTAAATCAATCACTTTCAGTGCATTAACATGATGTACTTTGTAAGGAAACATTCAAAAAGTTAACCAAAGTGCCTTATAAACAGTTGAAATTGGCAAATCCAGACACCAGATGACATAATATAAATTATGTCCATGTATATGCCACTTTTGCTGGCTTATTCTACTATGGCATGGCAGACCTCAGCAACAATTTCATTAGCGGTTGGTGGTTTGTATTTATGTGGCTTATCACAAGTACAGCCTGATACCTCAAATATTTTATGAGCTTGTGCATAGTAACTCTGGAAAAAGCCTTCTGCAGATATGATGCATCTTATGATATTATCTGAGAGTTTCTTTGGTATTGCATCCTTTGGTCTATGTTGGATATACAAGACTGTTCAGTTTAAGAGTTGTATTTAATTTATTTAGTGATTTAATATTTAATTATTATTTGGTTTTCATAACAAGAGTGCTAAAAGTTAATTATTTTAAAAGCGACAATTATGACAAGTTTTGTTACAAAACTCTATGTGAATTGTACGTTGTGTATATATTTTAATTGTTCTACAGTAGACTCTCCCTATTAAGACCACCTTTTGGTCTGAACAAAAATGTTCTTACTAGGGATTGACCAGTTCATCAATTTACTGAATTTGAATATTGAATTGTAATGTTATGTGTGATATTTCTTTGCATTTTGTACATATTGTCTTTGTTTTCATCAGACAAAATATTTTATTAAACAAAACAGTTGGATAAGTCACTCTTTATGTTTGAGTTTTTGAAGCACCTGGGTTTTGTGTTCTTACCGATCACAAAAGCACATTCAAATTCACCAACACTATTGCAACATAATGCAACACTTAGTCTATGTTTTGATTGCTTCCCCCCAGTGCACTATTCACCTTTTACACACAATGTTTTGTCTGGTAAACCACAATAGCTGACCCCAGTTTCATCCATATTGTAGATGTCTCTAGGTGCATATTCCTCAATAATAGCAGGCAATTTAGTATTCCATTCATCAAGTGTCATGGCATCGACATTGCCATGTTCACTACTGATTGCAAGTTGCAAAATGTTGTCTGGCTTTGAATTTAGTGATCCATCCAGAAAGACCCAGAGTAGTGGCTATTGTAAGTGACTTTTCTTGCAACATAGGTCTGGAAACTGGAATCTTCATAGCACGAGCTTTTTGATATTAAGACCATAATGATGCTTCAAGGTCATCACTCACAAATTTAGAACAAATGCGTTTTTGTGAAGACAGTTAATTCTCTTCAAATGTTGTCATATATTCAGCCTTATGCTTCAAAATTTGCTGGATTTGTGTTTTGCAGATATCGAGCTCTTCAGCTAATTTGCACTGGCTTTTATTGCTGCCGGTATGTGCCTCAATAACTTTGCCTTTATTTACAAATGATAGGTCAACACGATCAGATGGCTTTGCCTTTGGTGTCATTTTGGAATAGAATTTCTGTGTCATGGAGATTTATAAGAGCATTTGATACTGAATTTCATGTGCAATCGAAACAGAATAAACAGATGTTTTACTCATTGACTGATGTGGTATTTATACACAGTGTATCTTTCTTGGTAATGTTATCAAAGAGTGTATGAAAACATTACTCTTTCGAGTGGCTTTATTTGTGGCCTCCTATTACATTTATAACCAATAGAAAGCATAAATTTCAACTGATTGATTACAATATGATTCATGCCACAGGATGTTACACATATTTTATAATTTAGCTAATGAGAAAAAAAACTTTCTCATGAGAACATAATGGGGAGCTAAGTTGAATTTCTAACTGCTCAAGTCACATGATTAGAGAGCCAGAAAAATTCTGACAGATATCCAACTTTCTCAGCTGTTGACGTGTTATTATTCTGAGATCTACTGTGCATTATTTACTTAAAGAAAAAATTATTTTGTGGATTAGTAGAATTGGTGAAAGTATTAGGGCTAACACAGAAGGACAAGTCAATGACAAAAAAAACATTTACACAGTTAAGTGCTATATTTTTTGTTTTTCTTAAATTTTATTTATTTATTATTATAAAAGTAACTAAAATGCAAAAATTAGAAAATTATAGGCTAGATAAGGTTAAATTATGTAATAAAAATGATAATAATAATAATAAAACAATTTTTCTGTGAGGTACACTTGCTAAGACTAACAGCTTGCGAGTAGCACAAGCTATATGTAACTTTATTACTGTCACATTTGTTTCATGTTACCACATATTTTGAAACTTTTTATAGTGGGAATTTTAAAAATCATGGTCAAAAAGGAAATAATACAATAAAATTTAAATAGTAACACTATCAAAGTAATTTAAAAGTGACACGCGCTGAGTGTTGTCAAATATTGAACACGATTGCAATCAACAACAATCACACCTGTTGTGTACTTATCGTAGACGAAAACAGATAGCGGGTTGTCGCAATGTGGAAAATCAACAATGGCCTCGGGACTGATTTCAGTGGTTGGCCTGGGGAGATATTTTATAATGATAAAAATAGGCAAATTGTCGGGATTGTAATATTTTGCCTGCAATGGGGCAGTGGTCTCTTTAGGGAAATGATCACTCAGGGAGAGTCTACTATACAAGACTTTTGTAATGTTGACATCATCGTACTCAAAGCTCCTAACATTTTCTCATGTGTAATATTCTTGTTACTAGAGGGCTGTATATTTGTAGATTATTCTGTCATGTTATAAATGTGTGAAGATACAGAGAAGAAGCTAAGTTAGTGAAAGTAAAAGTGAAGTTAGACTACGTGATTATGAGTTTAGTCATAAAGGGCATATAGTGGCAGTTTCTAATGTGAAAATATTACAGCTTGTATTGTAATAACAGAGATAGAAAATTATAATTTATCTTGTCAAAGAGTATTCTAAAGTAATTGAACCCACCTGTGTGAACTTTGATGGAAAGGAGACAATTATTTAAAGCTCTGGATACAACTGTGGTAACCAACAGTTATAGTAGTGATTTTAAAGTATCACAGCCTTGTATTATAATAACAGAAATAGAGGAGAATAATATACCTTGTCAAAGGGTGTTCTAAAATAATTGTACCCACCTGTGTGGACTTTGATGAAAAGGAGATAATTATTTAAACCTCTGTATCCAACTGTAGTAACCAACAGTTATAGTGGTGATTTTAAAGTGAGTATCACAACCTTGTATTGCAACAGTAGAGATACAGAAAAAAATAGAGACCATTATTTAAAGCTCTGGATAAAATTGTGGTGATTAACTGTGTAAGGAACATTTGTATATATATGTTTGACTTGTTTTTGACACTTTTTGGTTTCTTGTTAACTGAATATAGCTACACTGTGAGTCACAGATCCATTTATACCCATGGGAAATATATGAAAGAAGCCACGGTAGTGCCTCGGGTGTTAACATGACAATATTTGCATAATACCTTAATACTTGTGTGATTTCACCTTCCAACACCATACCTTTTGTGAAATATGGCATGTTAAGCTGCTAAACTTTCTTTATAATCACACTGTATTGTAAGAATTATGTTTATATAATTGTATAATAAGGCAATGACTGCTGACACTTTTGAAAAAATGGCACATAAGATTGTCATCAATAAATGATTTACTTAATTGTGCTTTGTTCTTTCATAAAAAATTCACACATAAAATCATAAATTAAATGTAAGCCCTGTAAAATATATCTAATCAAATGTTTGTTGGTTATAATAACTTCCTGAAATTTAACACACTTGTTCATTATAGAAAGTGTAATTTTTCTTTTGGTAACTTTTGATTTCGAGTTTTTCTATTTTTTATTTTTGCAAGTTTATTCAAAATTCTGCTTTGTAGCACAAATTCAGTTAACCTTTTTTTATTTGCTTTGTGAAAAAGCATATAAAATGTATGATTGACTGATGAAGAGTCAAAGTGAAGCAAACTGATAGGCAAGTTTTTTTCTATTTTTTTAATTTATGGGTGTAAATTTAAACAATTACAATCATATTAATTATTTATAATTATAAAAAAGTTAAAGGTATAATATTCATCTTTCTTTTCAACAGTACTACATATATCACCTGTCCAGCTGATCCCAAGAAGACCCTTGGTATAAAACTGCCTTTTCTAGTCATGATCATCAAGAACCTCAAAAAATATTTCACTTTTGAAGTTCAGGTGACATATTTGTATGTAGTCTTAGACTTTAAGCCACACTATTTCTATTGTTTCAGGAAATAAATGGTTGGAGAAATGTGTATGGTATAATAACCTTATTGTCACGGGTCAAAGGCCATATCATCGTGTTTGTTGACTTGCATTCAAAATTTTATTGTCAATAAGTTTGATACCAAACTGTAGATTATAATTCAAATTTATATATTATACATTATTCAATTTCTTAATTTAAAAGTAAATATTAAAAAAAATGCACTTAAACATTGATTTTTGTGTGTCGTATGGTTCATATTAGATGTTTGTGATGTCAAAACACAAAGTCTATAGTTTGGACGAATTAGGAACTCAAATTACCAATATTAACAAGCTATAATATAAAAGAAGAACCTCCTATCTTTTATATTTGCTGAGATATTGCTCTTATACTGAATCAAACATAGTGGCCCAGCTCACCTCTTTCAGTTCTTGGAAACGGTCTCTTATATACACTTACTTGTGTATATGACATGAGAATAATCAATCGAAAGCTCAGAATGTGGCCCTAGTGGCTTTCTCAGCCATTTTCATGTGTTAGGGTGCCATCTTGTTCTTTGGACCAAAGATTTCAAGGAGGTAGCTTGTGTATTTAGTTTACTCTACATTTCATATTTTTTTAGACTTGAAAACAGCTTAGTTACTAAACTTAATAAATTATAATGGAATTCTATGGTATCACTATTGTAATTTATGATATTTTGGTTATTCAAATGTTTGAATAAAACTTAAAAAAAAATTTTGTTTCACAAGCTACGTCAAGCAGCAACCGAGTACAAAGGTCGTAATAAGAAGAGATAATTGTTTGCTTTACTTCTTCATCATTTACTGTTCTATGTTTCAAGAAAAATAAGTTTATGTCTTGTTTGTAAATATTAATAATCGATATACATATATAATGTATAAAAATTGAAATGTGACTGTATTTTACAAAATACTAGTCCACTAAACACAGCCATGATAGGTCACTTTGTAAAGACTAAAGGTCAGTTTTATACTGTTGGATACAGTAACAGAAGTGCACCGCGTCATTGTAACTTCTGTATTATTAGCAAGGCACAACTGGAAGGGCAATGTATTAAAAATAATAAATATCTATAAATGTATAATGTTGTGAGATTTAAGCTATTTAGACTAAACACTTGTGTTTTTGTGTTATAATCTGTAGTCATTCTAGAACCAAAAAAGCACAATTTATATTATTTGAAAATTTTTTTATGGTGGTTATGAAGTCGGTCAAATTGACAGACCCCGTATAGTTAGGGTAGAGGAAATAACAGACAAGATATAAAATTTTACTGGAAACATATGTTTCAAATGTACTTAGGAGGTTTTAGAGATTACACAAATAATATTTAAGATTTTTGGGACGAAGAATAGTTTTTTAATCATGACATGAAAATCACTTTGCACTTGGACTAGTAACAAAAAAGCCTTGACATTTTCACAAACAATCTTTAGTAAAAATACTTCATTAAAACATCTGAGTTTTTGTGTACAAAACACTAGGAATCATTACTAAACATCTACCAAATTTTGTGAAGATACACATACAGCATTAAAAGTTATAGTATAAATACTTAACGTGTGCAAGTGTGTATATAAGCTCATGTATACTGAGCCCATCAAAAAAAGGGCTAAAGCATTTTGTTTTTTGACATTGTTTATATATATATATAAAATCGCAGAGATTTATTTATTTAGCAGAGGATATAATCTGTTAATTTATTTAATTAGTCATGATGTGAAATGCATTATTTTTAGTTTTTTAATATATCTACATCAACAGTGACCTAGAGTGCTATAATTCTATTTAAGAAAACAATACCTGTGTAAGTAAAAATAGGTGTTATATTCTCATTTTTGCTTGTATCTTTTTAATATTGGTAAATATATCTTAAAAATTATGTTATACATATATACATAAATGTCAAAGTTATAGAAATGAATAATATACCACATTTGATTAAGCATTTAAAACATCACGTACTGATTCTGTTTTGTAGGTACTCGATGATAAAAATGTGCGAAGAAGGTTTCGAGCAAGTAACTACCAAAGCACTACACGAGTCAAACCATTTATATGTACAATGCCAATGAGACTAGATGAAGGATGGAATCAAATACAGTTTAACCTAGCAGATTTCACAAGACGAGCATATGGTACAAATTATATTGAGACCTTACGTGTGCAGGTAAGAATTAGTTTTAAAAGATGTAATGGTGAAAGAGGTAAGGGATTTTATTGTAATTTCAGCAATTGATATTTCAGTTCTAAGCTTCAATGGGGATTATTTTTGTTAAATTGGAGTAAATACATTATTTCATGTTTTATAAACGGTTCAAACAGTACTTGAGTAATTTATTATTAAATATATATATGAAATCTTTCGGTAAAATGTAGTTACCTAAAGTTTTTCTCTTTAAGGTTTGTTTCAACACAAGTTTATCTTAAGAATTTATTTAAGTTTTCTGAGCTGTGATTAAAAAATTAACATTCCATCTCAAACTTACAGTATAGATGGGTAAACAAAATTCGGATAGTTTTTAGTTACAGTTATATAATTGGTTGCAGACTGTTTCCAATATTAGGAATACATTGTATTAAAGGTTGCTAGTATTTCTGTATAAATCTTAAAACAGGGGTTTTGCTGATTTAGAATTTTATTTAAAATTGTAATGTTTTAAAATATGTAAAATTTCTTATTTTTAAGAGCCATTCATGTGCCAATGCAAAAAGAAGGATCATTATTTAAATCAAAAAATCATTCTGATTGATCAAGGATAAAACAAATATAATATTTATCTATAATCTTTTTATGTTTTCCAAATATTTTGTAAGAAGATTTTTGCAATAGACCAGTACCACAATGAGCAAGGATAATTATAATCTGCAGGAGGAACATAAAATCATTTTGATAAGCATAAGACAAAGAGAAGTTTGACAAGTTTTGTGTGCTTGGTCACTAGAATGAACTGATGTTATTTCATGTAATTTGGTCTTTTATGGTGATGCATTTTCTTGTGAACAAGGGGCAGTTTGTGTTGTTATAACTAGAGATGACTACAGCAATGTCCTGAAATATATAAATCTGTTTTATTTCAGATTTGTGATGAAACTTGTCATTTCTAAGTTATACAGATGTCTTAATATGTTATTTCATTATATAAATAAGCAAAATTCTAGACTAAAATTTAAACTGAAGATACAAAAAATGACGTTTACATTTTCTTAGACCTTAACATTAAAAAATCTTGATTGTTGCTTTGTTTTGTTGTGTCATCATAAAGCTGATTTTCTGGATTATATTTTGTCTTAGTAGTTTGGTACTATGTGATTTTAAGAACACTTTTTAATATTTCGATACGGTCTTAACTCTTTTCACACAAAGCTATCTCGATCTTCCTTTTGCCCCTGAGCATTGCTAAAAAAATTTAACTCTCAGCACACTGGTCTATATACCCCACAAATTTCATATCACTTTCGAAACATGTATATAGTGACTACTATAGTGACACTAATAATATTGTGCCACTAGCTCCCTCTGATTTTCTTACACAATCCTCACTTTCTCGACTGCTACAGCATTGTTTAGATGTGTGATTTTTCACATGGGATAACTGAGCATTGCCTTAGCTGGTGTGTTTTCACTCAAATCTGCACTATATACTGGTGGACCTATAATGCTCACTGTAAAGATGGGGTGTTCTGCAAGACCACTAGTGACATCCTAGTGGTATATACTTATGTGTCTTTTGATTACTGTAAGTTTAACTCAATGATTGACTGTTACTCATGGACTATCATGATTAAAGCAAACAAAAGGGGATTTCTCCTCATCCCTGCTGACCCTTTGATTGCTTAAATCAGGGATGGTCTGCTTTTCAAAATAAGGAATTGTGGACACCCATTGCACTTTCTCGAGTGTGACATTCCTATAGGCTCCCCAGTGCATTTACACACACACCCCTTCTCCAAGTGGAGCATGGAAGTCCTTACCACTTACTATTTCCTTGTCACTGGGGTGGTGGACCAAGGAGTCTTCTTCCTGTGTGTGAAGTCGAAATTTACTGTACAATACAACCACACATTTATCCACTCATTGAGAAGAGGGCAAAGCTGGGTTCCCTCCTCCCTTTTCCACAGGATGCTTATTCCCAGGTGGATTAACTATCGGTTGGAGCTGGACCAGCCTACACAGGATCCTTCTCATAATACCAGGTTTAGGATGACACCGCCCTGTTCCCATGGTTGAGTGCAGTAGAGGCCCCCCTTCTCGTTAATTCCATTGCAGGAAGTTTCCTTCTCTGTTCCTACAGTTGAGTTTGTGGGACCTCTCTGCTTCATAATACTGGCAACAGGACAGATGTACACTGTTCTACAGTTGAGTTTGTGGGACTTCTCTGCTTCATAATACTGGCAACAGGACATATGTACACTGTTCCTACAGTTGAGTTTGTGGGACTTCTCTGCTTCATAATACTGGCAACAGGACATATGTACACTGTTCCTACAGTTGAGCAAATGTTTCACATACTCCTCATAATTCTGGGTGCAGGATGTGTCTTCCCTGTATTTATAGTTGGGTGAGTTCAGATTTTTGTTCTTAATACCAGTTGCAAGTATTGCCCTGTTCTTACGATTGAGTTGAGACAAAAACATGACCGTGTAAATCTGGGTTTGTTTTGTTTTACTTCTTAGTCCTACAGTGGTTTTGGGAGTTTGTCTAGTTTTGGCCAAATGCTAACTTCCTCTTAGTAATTGTGTCTACTTACTTGACTTATGACACACTGTTTACTTATGATTGGGGCTGGTGTGTGTGTATATATATACACCTGGAAAAAAGTTAAGCACCCCCAAATATTTTTCAGGATTGCTTATTGAAAATAAGGTTTAATTTCCATGATGTTGAGCAATGTTCATAATTTCAAACATAATTAAAAGGATGTGAGCGTTCAGGTGTGACATTTAAATCAGGCGCGTTTTTTTCCCACGTGCTAACTTTTTCCTTCTTCACGTCCAATATGCACTATTTTCTCG